GGGTTTCAATGCAGCAAGTCAGATCCCTCCTTGTTCACTTACTACAGAGAAAAGAAGACTATGGTCTCTATGTTGATGATATTATCTTGACTGCAAGTGGTGATCAACTGTTGGAAGAGTTACTGAAGGTATTGTCTCAGCATTTTACATTGAACGACTTAGGTGTTCATAAATACTTCCTTGGGGTGGAGATGGAAATGCATTCAGGGGGAATCTTCCTTCACCAAACGGCTTATGACAAAGACATTTTGCATCAAGCATCAATTCTAGATTGCAACTCAATGCCAACACCATTTACTCAACGCATTGAGGCCTTGGATCCTACTCCGTTTCAGGAAGCAGCCTACTTCCGTAGTATAGCTGGGAAGATTCGGTACCTTACTATTACTCGGCCAGGCATACAGTATGCTGTTACTTTGTATGTCAAAGAATGCATCAACCGACTGTCTCTAATTTTGGTCTCCTCAAATGGATTCTACGGTATCATAAAAGTACTATGACCCTGGGTCTTAACATCAAGAAGAACTCAAGTCTTTCACTCTCTGCATACAGTGACAGTGAATGGACCGGCTGTCAAGAAACAAGGAGGTCCACAACGGGATTCTGCACCATACTTGGTTCAAATCTCATATTGTGGTCTGCTAAATGCCAAGAAACAGTCTCTAGATCCTCCACTGAAGCTGAATACAGAGCACTTTCCTCCACTTCTCAAGAGGTAACATGGATATCCTTCCTTCTTCATGATCTTGGTATGCAACAGCCTCACGCGACCTTGCTGCTCTATGATAATTTGTCTGCTGTTTACTTGAGCACAAATCTGGCTCTTCACCAAGAGGTCAAAACACTTTGATACGGATTACCACTATATCATAAAGCAAGTGGCTCTTGGGTTGACTGAGACAAGACACATACCGGCTTCACTTCAAGGTCGCAGACATCTTCACCAAACCTCTTCCAAGAAGGTTGTTTGTTGACTTAAGGAACAAACTTGGAGTTGACGTTTCCCCCATCTCAAGTTTGAGGGAGAATGTAAACCAAATAGACATTAAGGCCCAGACCAATATCGTGATGACTAAAGCCCAACCAGAGCCCACTATTCTACGGTCATCTTCTCAGGGCTTGTCGGTATGCAGAGTAGAGTCTTGTACGGAAAAGGTGAGCAATCTTATCTTAGCTCTCTTTATGTGTTGTGTAAATCACTTTCCAGCTGGTCAGTCAATAAGGTCTAGATCGTTCCAAGACCTCTATATATTGAGTCTGTAATTGTTCATTAAGAAATAAGAGAAAGTATTATCATCTTCTTCTTTTCAGTCCTTTGTCATTTGTTAGAGGGAGAACATAACCGGAACTGAGCTCAATCGGATCTGCGGTCCTTTAGTGTTTATATATACAAAATCGGCCTCAGTTTACAACATGTATATTTGTTGTACTTGCAAATTCAACATTGGCATATATACCAGTATACCTAAACAAGTTTTAAGTTCAAAACTTCAAAATCAGCAAAACGACTTATTAATCATGCAGTTTTCTAAGACTTAGGACAGGTATCTAGGATCATGTACACCAAAATCAACTATCACATTCACACATTGGACAATTGTGACTCTTTTTTTTTGCTTACAACAATTGTGATCCTTGGACTCCAAGTTTTGGATGTTCCAACGATCATCACTTGTCCATCCTCATCGGCCATCATCACCTTCATTCACCATCGTTCACGACCCATAGATCAAGACTTCTTCAATTTTGGCATCAAATTCATCATTCCATCCATAATCTAGTTCATATTGGATAGGTCCGGCACCCATCATGCACTATCATATAATTATGTGAATCTCAAGCCATTCAAAGGATATTTTTATCAAAGAAATAAAATAAAAAAATCTACACTGCATCTAAAACCATTCTGAGAATACTATTTTCGCAAACTTAATACTTTGGCTGCAACTCGATTAACCATTCATCTTGAATGGAATGTAATGGAATAACCATAAACTATATCAAAATACAAAAAAAAAAATATTTTTTTAAACATTTGTCTACAATTTTAATAAAGAACTAGATTTTGATCCACGCTTTGAAAATATGAGATATTTTGTGACGAAAAATTACATTAAAAGTTTTACAATTTTTTTGTTAGTTTAGAAAAAAACTGTTTGTTCAAAAAAAAATGCATTTTAAGTCAGCTATTTTATACTTATTGGATCTGCGGTCAAACCGATAGATCCATTGATTTGATACGTAATTCGGGTTTGGTTTGTAAAAATATCTATTTTTAAAACCCATAAAAATTAAAAATCCGAAGCTAACCGGTTGAACTAATGAGTGATCCATATGTGATTCAATTTGTATTATTATTCTTTTTGATGAAACTATATTATAATAGTTTGCATAAATTGTGTAAAATTTTAAAAATAAGAATTTAAGTCAAACTGGATTACAGATCCATCACTAATTATTTCAAACGGATAGCCTCGAGTTTTATATGTTTTGTGGGTTTTTCAATAAAAAGATATTTTACAAACCAAACCCGGATTATGTATCAGATCATTGGATTTATCGGTTCGGCTGTGGATCCAATAATTATAAAATCGTTGATTTAAATGCAAAAAAATTTTGAACAGAAAAAAATCTTCCAAATTAACAAAACCATTGTAAAATTGTTAAGAAATTTTTTCATCATTAAATATCCTGTGTTTTCAAAGTACATATCAAAATCTATTTTAATTTATAAATGTTGTATTATTATTCTTTTTGATGAAAATATATTATAATGGTTTGCAAGAATTGCGTAGATCTTTTCTGTTTGTTTAAAAAATTAATTCTAACTCAAATGATAATTTTTTTGAAAATAAACTGAAGGGCCAATGTTTTGTACTTTCAGTTTTAGGGATGATTTTCTTCTAATTGTATAGATAGATAGATAGATAGATATATTTAATATATTTGAGATAGTATTGAATATTTGTTTCTAACAGAATCTATTTTTTTTGAAATTTAAAATTTTTGAATTTTTAGTATCATGGAATATAATTAAATATTTTACAAAATTTCTAGTTTTCATTTATTAATCAAATAGAAATTAATTTTGATTTCTAATGATATTTTATGAATTTGAATTAAATAAATTTTGGAAATAATTTTTTTTTAAATGTCAATAAGGTTTTGTTAGATTTTTTTAAAAAATAATCACTTAGACGTCAAATAATAATATAAAGATATTATAGTTAAATTTTGTAAAATTTGCTAAATTTTCTAAGGAATGGTTAAATGAAAGATATTGTGTGGTTTTTACTTTTTCATTTATTAATAATAAATAATGAGAAATTTTAATGTGTTAAGGTTTTTAAAATATTTTTGTATAAGTATAGTAAATGAATAAAATAATTTCTAATAGCATTAAAATTATGATAAATGATGTTACATATCGATCAGTTAGTGCTTATAATTTTGAGGAAGAAGAATTGCGTGGGTGAACCTTTGCAAAGAACCCCACTTATGTATGGTATTGGTGTGCATTAAGGTGTTTTATTGCATCTATAGGATCCATATAAGTTTAAGAAAAGAACAAAAGTCAACACTGGTGAGGAAGAAGAGTTACTTGGTCTGGGACATTAAGGTGGTTTTATTGCATCTATAGATCCATATAAGTTTAAGAAAAGAACAAAAATCAACACTGGTGAGGAAGAAGAGTTACTTGGTCTGGGACATTATGGTCGAGTGGTAAAGAGACGGGATTGGGATACTAACACGTTTTAGGTTTGATTCACCTACTATATAAAACTAAGTCATAATTGTTCTTAGATACCTACACGGATATGAATCCATGCTTTAGGGTTCATTTGAATGTCCAGAAAAAAAAGTATATTTGTGAGCCATAATTCCTTTCGAGAGATTAGCTAGTCTGAACTTCTTTATAGATATGAGATACTTCCAAGTTAATTAAAAAAAAAAAAGAGCTATGTGGGGAAGGTATGGTCAGTAAAGAAACAAATGATTGTTTATACTGAAATTATTGTGCATTTTTATAAGGAAATCATGAGTTAAAGATTTATATTGAATTTCTCGTGTATTTGATTTAGAAAATAATAGTATATTAGGTGGTTCGCCCGCGCATGCGGGCATAAACATTTATAATACTTATTAATATATATATATATATATATATATATATATATATATATATATATATATGTATTACTAACTCCAAACTTATTTGTACACCATATTTATTTGTAATAAATAAATCTTAAAATAATGTAATATTTTATTTTCAATTATATAAAATTAAAAAAATTACTTAATTGATATTTATTATGTGTATTTCTGATTTTGAATTTTTATTTTTCTTTATTTAAACAATTTTTTTGCATAAAAACACAATATATATAGGAATTATATTTTATTTTAAATAAATTTTTAGATTTTAGATAACTCTTCTTATTATTAGTTTTAATCATTTATCTATTGATAATTTAAATTTCGTTTTTATTTTTATTTAATTTGTATATGTTATTCATTAAGGGTATAAACGATATTAACCACTCTAACTTTTAACGTAAGAGCTCCGTTGCGAAAATCACTTCGCAAATAATAGTATAGATTACATTTGAAAAAAAACAATAAATACTTAAAGTTAGAAGTAGTTATTACTTGAGTGGTATTTAAATGTAATTAGATTGAAATTTTGTATTTCAACTTTAATCAAATAGATGAACGGAATGAGGTTGTTCATAATAATGTAACAGTTTCATCATCTGTACGTTTATATGGACATTATACTGCTCTCGTATCAAGTGGCTAACGAGTTAACACACACAAAACGGTAGAATCATAGAGCATTCATTAAAGATACCAAACATAAAGAAGCATATCAATCAAGGATGAAACAAGAATCAACAAATTTGTTTTTTAACTTAGTACAGTGTTCATTGTTCTCCATTTGAAAAGCAAAAAAAAACATATAAAATTAAGAGAAATAAAGTTTGATTGATCAAAAAGCGCGAGCTGTTCTTTTCTTCACATCATGCTCCTCTAACCATAAACCTCTTCCAGTACCAATGTTGCTTCCAAACGCTATCCCTAATGTCATCAATCGAGACACCTTTAGTCTCTGGCACGAAAAAGAAAGCAAAGAGTCCCATCACAACGATCCAAGCACTGAAGAAGAAGAAAATCCCTGACTTCATCCCGCAAAGCATTGATAGGAAGGCCTGAGCAATCACGAAAGTGAATAACATGTTGCACGACACCGCCAATGCATACCCTTCGGTTCGTGTCTCCAAGGGAAAGGTCTCGCTAGGGATTAACCATCCTAATGGCCCCCATGACCAAGCGAAACCCATCACGTAAACGCACACAAAGACAACCACTACTATGGCTTCTGGTCTACTTAACGTACCCGTCAAACCTAGGTCTTTGGCTAGAATGATTCCAATGACCAACTAATTTGGAGAAGAAAAAAAATGTTAGTATAGGAGGATTGCTTGCAAGACAAGAAACTCTTACTCAACATTAGTGTTTCTTTCCTTGTCGAATAAGAAATAGAAATACCTGGCAAATAAGCATTTGGACTGCAGCCTGTAGCAAGAGAAATCTCCGACCAGTTCTGTCGACGAAGTAAATCCCTACAAAAGTACTAACAACATTGATAGTTCCTGTAATAACTGCGGAAAGCAAAGCAGCATCATTCCCAAACCCTACAGTCTGAAACAAAACCGGGGCATAAAACATGATGGCATTGATTCCAGTAAACTGTTGGAACAGCTGGAGCAGCATTCCGATGACAAGTGGCGGTCGGCTCTCGCGCTTCATCAGCCTCCTGTAAGGATCCTTGACCTGCCTGGCGAATTCGCAAGCTTGGACGAGTGAGTTATACTCCTCATCAACATCTTCGACGCCTCTGATCTTCTTGAGAGTAGCTTTGCCTTCCTCGTTCTTGTTACGCTCGATGAGACTCGTCGGTGTTTCGCAGATGACAAGTGATCCGAAGAGGAGGACGAGGGCAGGAATCCCCGCGCCACCGAGGGCGAGTCGCCATCCGTAAGGGTGAATAGAAGAGGTGAAGTAGTTGACTACGTTGGCGATAAGGATTCCTATTGTTATCATTAGTTGGAACACAATGTTGAGACCTCCACGAAGCTTCGCTGGAGCAATCTCTGATAAGAAAAGCGGTACGGCCTACAAATATATATATTCCGACAAAAAAAAATTAAAACACAATCTCATACAAACCCCAAAACGGAGTAAAACCAAGTATAGTTTATGATCCGACCGTTATATATACCGAAGTGAAACGCTTATGGTCCATAATATAGTATTGTTACAAAACATTTTATTAAATATTTTTATAAATTGTCTATAAACTCAAAAATCTTCGGATTGGCTATGAATATATATATCAACATTATTAATACCGATCTTGTTTTGGTTGGTATTTTATATTTTGGTTAATTATAATATATATTGTACCTGATTACCAAAGCCAACGCCAAAGCCGAGCAAGATTCTGCCGAAGATCAACATGTACATGTTAGCAGCACCGGAGGCAAGGCCAACGCCGATCAAGAAGAAGATGGAAGCTAACTGCATTGTGGGTTTCCTGCCGAGCTTAGAGCACGTGAAAGAGG